ACTCAATATTAACCATTACAAAATAATTATTGTGGAATCCCTTGGTCAGCATTTTATCAACAGTGGAGTGTTGCTGCTGAGAGACTGAAATAGCTGGATATATCCATTTATCAATGATAATGTTTCCCCTTTCTTCCATCCTGGATTCCAGCTCAAGGACATTCGTTTTAGTAGTAAAAAGAATATTAGACTCATAAATGCTAAGGTGCGACGGGCGACTCTTCGAGATGTATCAAAGCAGGATAATTAAGATGAGGAATAAGACTGAGTTTCTCGGTAATAACTTTTGCCACGGAACAACTCTGTTTTATGCACCAATAATCCACCTGAAGTGCAAGAGGAGGATTCCCTTGGCCTCCTGGTTTGTGAGTCCCTGTGCCTCAGGCTTAGTCAAGGGCAGCACCAGTGAAATTGATGGTGTTAACACCAGCACTTGATTCTAAAAGCAAGCAGACAAAAAGTGCTGGGGTGTGTGGTGTGAGAGAGAAGTCTGTTTAGCTTTTTAAACAAGCTGTAGCTGCTGAAATATTTGGCTTTTAGACACTCAAGGAAGACTTGTAGTGGAAATGAAGAGCTAATCTCTGCTGCGCTGCTTTGTGAGACTTGTGCTTTCAGAGACTCTGTCAAATTTTTTCAAACTGTGCTGACTGCGCTTATGGTTAATATGATTTTACCCAAAACCAAATGAGTATCCTAGAAATTTGCCCTTTATTCTTGTATCTCCTTCTGCCACTTATCATAGAATCACAGAATCATAGAGTGGTGCCACTCGGGCTGTCACAGATGTTGCCGTTTTCTACTGGTCAATTCCTCTGCATTATTATTTACCCCACTGCCAGTTTTTGGGTAAGTTTACGGGCATTACCTGGTGCACTGGGCTGTCACAGATGTTGCCGTTTTCTCCTGGTCAATTCCTCTGCATTATTATCCATCATTTACCCCACTGCCAGTTTCTGGGTAAGTTTACGGGCATTACCTGGTGCACGTTGCAGTAACATCCTCAGTGCCGATGCCTGAACTCATCCCACTTTTACAGATGCCAGCTCAGGATTCCGTGCTCTGTCTGTTACCAATCTCTTTAATTACTTTATCTATGCTTTCAGTCTGTCTAAATTTCTTTCCTTTTTGATTTTCCTACCGTGAGCGAGATGTGCTCTGTTACCAATCTCTTTAATTACTTTATCTATGCTTTCAGTCTGTCTAAATTTCTTTCCTTTTTGATTTTCCTACTGTGAGCGAGAACCTCCTCAGCTGTACTCAGAAAGGCTATGTATTTATTCCATCACAGAAATAGTATTTGTGATTTTTCAAAGATGGCCTGGAAATGGTTTTGGTTCTGTAGCAACTTTGCTGTTTTGGAGAGCCTCGCTGCGCTTGTCTCTAGCGTGTGCTTCTCCTGCTAGAACCAATCCGTGGTCTGTTTGACAAAATACAGCCATGCAGTTAAGAGTTATTAAAAGCATTAAAGCATTAACCTCTTGTAACCTCATTTTTCACTTTGTACACATACATAAGTGTTTAATCGAATTGAAGTTAAACACTAAAAAGTTTGAGAGGCCAAATTTATACATTCTCTTCAGTTTATACAGAATTGATGTGATAAGCCAAAGGAATTATAAGACACCACTACTCAGAAAATACTCATCCGATGATTTGTTTGAGCTCCGTTGCTACACACTACAAGTTGTGGTGACAAGCGTTCCCAGCATTTGAATCAAGGAGCCTTGTCCTGCTGGGATCCAATCTGTGTCCTGGCGCCACAGTAGCTTATTCTGCTGTCCTTTGGAAGTAGAAAAAATGATTCTGTGTCAAAAGATCTGCTGGAGAAGGGTGAGCCACATCCTTGAGCGAGATCCCAAGACGGAGCACTGTGTGGTATCATACCGGAGACTCCCGTCTTCTGCTCATTCTGTGATTTCATTCCAAGCAGCCAGAATCCCACAGAGGGACCGCACCAACCCCGAAATGAACGTCCTGGTCCTCATCTCATAGAATCATAGGATCATAGAGTTGCCCAGGCCGGAAGGGACCTCCAAAGGCCATCTAGTCCGACCCCCCCGCAGTCAGCAGGGACACCCCCAACTAGACCAGGTTGCCCAGGGCCTCGTCGAGCCTCTCCTTGAATATCTCCAGGGAAGGGGCTTCAACCACCTCCCTGGGCAACCTGTTCCAGTGCTCCACCACCCTCACAGTGAAGAACCCTCTCCTCATCTCCAGTCTAAATCTGTTCCCCTCCAGCTTGAAGCCATTGCCCCTTGTCCTGTCACTGCAGGCCTTTCTAAACAGGCTCTCCCCAGCCTTCCTGTAGGCTCCCTTCAGGTACTGGAGGTCTCTGCTTGGCATGAAAGGCCAGGGTGTCATCTCTGAAGGCAGGGGGAAGTGAGTGCTAAATCCAAAGTATAAACACAAGGACCAGAAGAGGCAGGAGGTTCGGACGTGGCTTCCAGGTACAGCTTCTGCTCAGATGTGATGATCCAAAACCAGACAGGTTGTTCTTTACCTGGCTCCCTACTAGCTGTGAATTGGAATTCCCAGTGCCGCATTTCTAAATGGCTCCTGCCAAAAGCTGAATTCAGTGGAACCTTAAGAGATTGCACCTTTGATTTCACAGAACTTCCATATGTTGCACAAGGTGAAAAATGGGGAGATGCTGAACTGGAACACGTGCATCATTCCGTGTAGCTGGGTCAGGCCCACTCCTGTGTGGCTGCTCAGAGGCTCTGCAAAAACTGAGTTTAAGGGCAGCCACGGAGCTGGGAGTCTAATTAGAGTGAGGGAAGATGAGGCGCTGAAGGGTGCAGGTGGGGTGGTGTGGGGGTGTCAGTGTGGGACGGGCAGCGGAACAGGGGAAACGGGTGCAGCTGGAACGTAGGGATGTCATGTCTTGTCTTCACACAGGGCCGTCTTCTGCCAACTTCCTGCACAACCAGAATGGTGAACGCAGTAATACTTGTCAGTTTTCCAAATGTTCATGAACCACCCATTGTGACAAAGGAATTCTGATAACTAGTCTTAACTTTTCAGTATGCTCTAATAAGAAGAAAAATAAGGAAGGAAGAGAAGGTAAAACCTGCTATAAAGCATGGGCAAGACCTTCATTTCCACACAGGCTACAATAAAGCAGCATTGCATTTCTCAAATTTGCAAAACAGATGTCTCTTACTTTACTAATTGATCTGATTCTGATGAAATACTCCAAATGCAGCTGCTTACTCTGTTTTCTGTATGAATGTTCTGAAATTGTTGCTTATATAAAACTATCTTATTCAGCACTTCTGCCCTGGGTTTAATTATTTCTGTGCTCATAACCTTTTATCTGATAAAGTGTCCTAGATTTTTCTTACATGTCTTTCTGAATGGGGATTTCAGCTTCCAAGATGACTCAAGTCAAAGAGAGTCCTGTTAAAACGTTGTTGTAAGTCCTGTAAAACATTATTTATAAAGTTGGTAATACTAAATAAAAAAAAAAGCTTTGTGGCACGAAGTTAAGCAAAGCATCAAGGACGTCGGGATCGCTAACAGTAGCTTGAGTTAGCAAATACATATCAAAGCAGCGAGTCAGCATTACAAAGCTTGTTATTTTAACTTGAGTAGAGGATGTTTACTGTTGAAAGGGACAAACAAGAATATTAGATAAGATGACAGCTCAACAGATCTCAGCCCGGAATTTATCGCGCGCTCGTCCTAGATTTTTCTGAATGTCTTACATGTCTTTCTGAATGGGGATTTCAGCTTCCAAGATGACTCAAGTCAAAGAGAGTCCTGTTAAAACGTTGTTGTAAGTCCTGTAAAACATTATTTATAAAGTTGGTAATACTAAATAAAAAAAAAAGCTTTGTGGCACGAAGTTAAGCAAAGCATCAAGGACGTCGGGATCGCTAACAGTAGCTTGAGTTAGCAAATACATATCAAAGCAGCGAGTCAGCATTACAAAGCTTGTTATTTTAACTTGAGTAGAGGATGTTTACTGTTGAAAGGGACAAACAAGAATATTAGATAAGATGACAGCTCAACAGATCTCAGCCCGGAATTTATCGCGCGCTGTTGAAGGCAGTTATTTGAAAAGATAACCAGGACCCCTGGGGTCAAGGATGTGCCCTTCTGCAAACAGAGGCTTTCGGCTTTCGGCCACCGGGGCTGCCTTTCGGGGGACTGCCTGCCATGGGGGGGCTGCTTG